GGACTTGAGCTCACCTTGTAGCCCAGGCTGGTCTCGAACTTGCAACAACCCTCCTGCCTCAGCCTCCCGAGTGCTGGGATTACAGGCTTGCACCACCATGCCCGGCTCATGTGTGTCTTTGAAGATGGAGAGACCAGACTAGGAGTCAGCACTTCATCCCATTCACCGTTAGCTACTCCACAAACCCTTCAGAACCCCGCCCCGGTGCAGAACAGAGCTAGACGTCGCAGCCAGTGCTGTGCAGCTCCAATAGAAGTTCGCCTGATATGGGACGGTGGTGAGAAGTTCCGGCTTCACCACCAGGAGGTGGGAGCCGAGGAGGGTGTGGGCCCTCGAGGGAGCTGACTGTGCTCACGGGCGTCCTCTCGTGGCCGTGAACTATTGGGACGTGGTGGGGCCTTTGCGTTGCTCTGGGGGATGGGGGAGGTCACTGGCATGGGCCAGCAGAGGGCGCTGTGCCTCAGGGCGCATGGGAACCTGGAGGAGGAGGAAGTTAACTCAGGCAAACTGTTGCCTTGCGTGGTTGTTGTCTACCGAGGCGGACCTGTGGGCACTGGGCACCTTTCAGCATCTCAAGAAGACAAACCTGCCTCTGGGTGAGGGTTTGGAGCCCAGCCTTGACCCATTTTCTCCTGGCATCTGGGAGAGAGAATTAAGCTTACCGTCACCTCGCCGCTTCCGCAGCGTTGATTGGCCGCCTATTGTATGTTGTGCTATTGCTCACAGTGCTGACCCCCTCACCCCAGATCCATCCCTACAGACAGGAATGGCTTTTGTCCTTTGATTTGCGTTACTGGGGACAGGGCCTTCACGCTGAGTTCCATCCCCAGCCCTTTTTCTTTTTATTGCAAGACAGACAGGGTCTGGCTGCATTGCCCAGGTTGTGCTCGAACTTACCATCCTCCTGCCTCAGCCTCCCAAGCAGCTGGGATGACACAATGGTTTTCTTCCCCTACCCCCCGATGAGAAAACCGAGGCTCAAAGAGGAAAAGCATTTGCCCAAGTGCCCCCACCCAGCCTGGCTCCCACACCGCCCGCTGCCTCCGTGCCAGCTGTCCCCGGAGCTGTAATCAACTCCCTGGCCTCTCTGAACACACTCGGATCTGTTGCAATCGGCCGGCTCGCAGGAGCAGTCAATAATTAATCCTGAGCTTCGCCATTTATCACCCAGGCGGGATTTGGAGGGCCTGGACTCCTGACGCCAGCCTGCGTGTCCTGAGTCACTGGGCTGGCCCTCACAGTGACAGAGAGAGGAGAGGAGAAGGTCTCCGGGCACGGAGCAGGGCCCACAGACGCTGAGCGCCTCAGCTCAACGACCATGCCAGCCTGGCCTGTGCGGTGCCCGCGGGCAAGTGGAGAAAACATACGTTGCATGGATAATAATGTAAATAATTAATGCAGCAAAGGAAAACAAGATGTTGTGAGAATACAAACCAGGGCGCCGTGGCTATGTCTGGGGCACTGTGGGCCTGCAAACAGAGGGGTGAACAGGGACAGGACACTGGAGGCAAGGGCTGCCATGCAAAGGCCCTGGGGTCAAAAGAGCCCCTGAGCTCAGAGTGAGGCCAGTAGCTCTCGGGGAACACAGGGGCTGCCCAGGAAGAGCTGAATGCGTCCCACACTACCTGGGGTGCTGGGCGAACTGCTTCTGTTCTGCTGAGGCTGATGCAAGGCCCGACGGTAATGCGATGTAGCTTTTATTTTATTTTATTTCTTACAAAGGTTTGGCTCTTGGAGGGTTCTTCCCAGCCCCTCTGGCACGAGGAAGAGTCAGGAAGTCTGCAACACACAGAGCTCCCCGCCCTGCCCCAGTACCTCTCTCTACAGCCAGGAGAAAAACTGAGGCCTGGGGAGCCACCTGAGTTTATTCAGAGGAGCGGTTTCTGGGTGCCCTGCAGTTTCTTTTTTTTTTGTTTTGTTTTTTTGTTTTTCTCTGGTACCAGGAACCGAACTCATGACCTTGCACTTGCCAGGCAGGCGCTTTGCCGCTGAGCTAAATCCCCAGCCCCTGCCCTGCAGTTTCTGTCCCTTTTGCTGGACTCTGAGCCCCAGGAGGGCCCGGCCCAGTGGTTGCCGTGCTGTCTCCGCGCCCTGCACACAAAAAGTTTCACTGATGATTAATGGTCGCCTCTGGAGCTCTTGAACACTCGATTTTCTTTGGTGGACCTGAGGATGGAACCCAGGGCATTCCCACTGGGCTACATGCCCAACCCTGTTTACTTTTTTTGTTGTTGTTTTTATCTTTTTGGGACAGGGTCTTGCTGTGCAGCTCTAGCTGGACTTGAGCTCACTTTGTAGCCCAGGTTAGTCTTGAACTCACAATGATCCTCCTGCCTCAGCCTCCTCAGTGCTGGGATTATAGGTGTGCACCACCATGCCTGGCCTTTACTTTTTATTTGATTTTTGTTGTTGTTGTTGTTTTTGTTTTTCTTCGGTTCCAGGAATCATACTCACGACCTTGCACTTGCCAGGCAGGCGCTGTGCCACTGAGCTAAATCCCCAGTCCCTTTTACTTTTTATTTGAGAGAGCATCTTGCTAAGTCTCTAAGTTGGCCAGGCTGGGCTTGAACTTGTGGTCCTCCTGCCTCAGCCTCCCAGAGTGGTGGGATGACAGGCGTGGGAGACGGGGTGTGGAGGGAGTCAGAGACAAACAGCCAGAGATGTGGAGAGAGAAAGAAGCAAAGGTGGGAGACAGACAGAAGCCCAGGTGGAGAGAGAGAGGGGAAGAGGGAGGGGGAGGAGGGAGAGGAGGGGGAGATACTTAAGCAAGCGGTGTGGGCGCCCAGCTTTTGGCTGAGCCGAAGACGTCTCCTCCGAGAGCCAGCGTGCCTGGCGTCCTCAGCCCTCCAGGCGCACAGACCAGGTGGGTGGCCCTCCCCGGACGCCTTGGGCCCCATGAAGCCAGAGTGGCTGCCAAGTCTCACCCGAAACTCTTCTTCGCGGCCCAGACTTGCTCCCTGGGTGGAGACCAGAGCCTGCGAGGGCCTGGGAGCGGCGTAGGCAGCCAGGCTCCCCCCACCCTGTTCCACAGCCCAAAGCGTGGAACTTGAACTTGATCTTGCATTCAGATAGTCTTTTAATGAGTACACTCAGGATGGTCCCTGTGTCCCTAGTCCCAGACTGAGTGACCCCACGGCTTCAGAGCTGAACCTTCATACTATCGGGAGGGGCCACAGACCTCTCCTGGTTTTCTGTATCAGGGCTGAGACAGAGGGAGAGAAATCTGGGGCAGCAGGAGCTCAGAGAAAGTGGAAAGTCTTCTTGGAGGCAGTAGGAAGAGGGGCATCAAAGCTGGGGCACTGAAGGACGAAGAGGAGTTTGCCAAACAGAGAAGGAGGAAATGTAAACCCAATGGGAGCCCTGTGGCCAGAATGCAGGGAATATGCTGATGGAGTAGCAGGAGAGGCGGGGGCTGGAGGAGCAGGGCCAGTTAATGTGAGAGCCAAGGCCAAGAGCCCCTCCACACTACAGTCCCCTTGACCCTGCCAGCCCAGGTCAGGCCTGACACTTCCTCAAAGAATTGCGGCTCCTCCTCCTGCTGTCTCCTCTCCTCCTTGGACCATGCTTCTGGCCACTTAGATGGTGGCCAGGTGTCCATGGTGTGGTTGCCAGGCACGATGCCAGGATCATGCCTCAGTTTACCAATCTAAAACAAGGGATGCCGGAAGCCATTTATGCATCTGTGTCCATCTCAGGACTGGCAAGATCGGAAGGGAGAAAGGAGAGAGAGGCAGGAGGAGTGGGTGGAAAAGAAAGGGAGAGAAGCCGGGTGTGCTGGTGCACGCCTATAATCCCAGCACTCGGGAAGCTGAGGCAGGAGGATTGTTGAGAGTTTGAGACCAGCCTGGACTACAAAGTGAGCTCAAGGCCGGCCTGAACTGGATGGTGAGACCCTGCCTCAAAAAGACAAAAAAAAAAGGGAGAGAAGAGATGTGCCCCGCACCCCCCACCCCTACCCCCGCTGCCACTGAGGGACAGGACTGCATTATTATTCCAGCGCACGCCTGAGCTGTCGGGGCTTAAGCAATGGGTGGTGATTTGCATGCGATTTGCATGCGATTTGCATAGTGTTTGTTAAATGTCAAAACGACTTGCGAACGTTTCCTCCCGCTCCAGCCCCTCCTGCTCCCACAGTGCTGGCCTGGGCTGGGGACCCACCACTGGGACAGCAGTGACAGGGAGGCAGGGTGGCAGGCTGGGGCACAGACCCATCTGGGAAATGGGTGTAACAACCACACAGCTGTCCAACAAGCCAGGACTCGCTCAGTGTAGGCGCCCGGGAAGGAGCGGGGGGCTATGAAAGGTCCCCAAGAGTGGGAGAGGGCTCCAGGCTCCCTCCAGCTATGGGACATTAGCCCAAACCCCAACTCTAAATCCCTGAGGCCACCTCATGCCTCAGTTTACCTGCACCAGAAGAGGGCACAGGAAGACCGCTCCAGCAGCAGGCCCTGGGGGCCATGGGAAACGGGTCCCGGGTTGTGCCAGGGTAGGAGTGGGAACAGAGGGACCCTGGCCTTGGGGTGAGACGAGGGCCCGTCACCCCGAGTCTGGAAGCAGGTAGGGGGCTGTTCCTCTGTCCTCTATCCATCCCCACCGCAGGACCATGGCTGAAGGGAGAGGCACGTGCGCATGCGCGGAGGAGAAGCGGGACCGTGCTGCCTGGCGCAGTGCACACCCTGAGCAACAGGGAAGTCTGAGGGCAGCGCTTCCCATGGCCACGGTTTAGTCTCCACCTGTGCCCGCACTGGGGTCTGCGGCCAACACAGCTGTAATGGAAACATTATTCCTTCCAGGCTCCCGCACCTCTGGCCTGTGCGCCGCCCGGCCGTGGTGGGCGCGCAACCCCCGACAGAGAGTCTGCACCAGCCCCGGACAGGACGCGGCCCGCCACAGGCTCTCCGTTCCGAATTCCCACGTCCCGCTCCGTCCTGTGGGCCCCGCTCCCCGAGACACACGCAGGGGCCGAGGAGGAGGACTTCAGGGCCAGGACGCCCCGCCGAGGGCGCGAGCACAGCGCCGGGAGGGCAGGTATGAGGGTGGGGGCCCCGTTTCTCCTCATCTGGGACTTCAGGTATGAGGGTGGGGGCCCCGTTTCTCCTCATCTGGGACTTCTTGGAGCGGCTGGCAGCACCCCAGCTGGGCTCTGTGGGGTCCCAAAGAGGGCGCGCTGCTCCTGGCCGAGGAGGGAATCCCGCGGGGCTTCCTGGAGGAGGCAGAATCCTGGCGCGGGGGGCGCAGTGTGAGCAGAGGTGCGGTGGCGCAACGGGCAGAACCGGAGGGCCAGGGCCCGGCTCCTGTCCTCTCCCCGAGAGAGGACACGCGGCCACGTAGTCTCAGGGTCACCGCGCGGGTCCTGGCTCCTCCCCGCTGGGCGGGACGGGACAGCGGCGTCCGGAGTCCAAGCCGCGAGGGACCGAGGCAGCGCGCACCTGGCGGTCTGGCCAGTGTCTCAGTCCTCCCGAGAGCCCAGAACCTGTGACCCAAAAGGGGAAGCCCAGCTCAGTCCAGGCGCCTGGCCACTGCCCCTCCCCGAGACCCGCAGCCCCCTCCGGCCACCTCGAGGTGTCTGGGGCGCCCTGGCTGGGCAGCAAGTCCGCTTGAAGCCGCCTCGTGGCCGTCTCGGAATTGCAGGCAAAGCTCCTAATAGAGCCTCCTAAGAGCCCAGCCTGGAGGGGCAGTGCGCGCCTGTGATCCTAGCACTCAGAAGGCTGAGGCAGGAGGATCGCGGCGAGCTCCAGGCCAGCAT